TCTTCTGGATTTCCTCTTTCTCGTCTCTGGAACAAGAGACTGCCACTGTCCTCGCAGCTGATTCCATCAAACCTAGAGTTTCATTTCACATTGATTTCTTTACCGTCCGTTCTCTATGTCAGATCGGCCAGCAGGGAGCACTTAACCTCATCCTCCACTTTCTTGGTTTTGTTATATACTGTGTCTCCGAAAGCCATCGCGACGAAACTGGTACATAACCTGGTGCGATGGTGTGTATCCCTCGGAGATCCATTGGGCTATGCTGCATAGTGCTTTCGCACCTTCAGAGCCACTCGTATCAGATTCGTCAATGGTTAGAAGCCTGGCAAACGCAGTCTCCTGGCCCTCCAAGTTAGGGCATGAAGTGAGAGTGACTCCTTACTTCATTAAAGGGATTCAGTGTAGACCAGTGCCAAAACCCCCTTGCCTTGAGCCAAAGGCTTTGGTTGAGTGCCCTAATCGTTCTCTCTAAGTCTGGCTAACCCGACAGTGTTCTGCCCACGCAATGCCACGTAATGATTTTCTCTTCACACCATTTGTTGATGCTCTTGACCGTCGCAGATCATAATCAACGGCACCCTACCTACTGCATCGAGCAGCGTGGATAGGGGTTTATATGCTACTGCATAAGCTTCCCCATCTTCTTCTTTTCTCTCTTGCGCTTTCTCATCCTTCTCGTCCCTTACCAACATCACTTTTATCACTCTATGTTTAACCCCCCTAATTCTTGGATTCGTTAGCTGACTTGACGAGGAGTCGACTCAATGGCGTCTGTAATATGAGTGTCTTAGTCCCTCCTTTCACCTTTAGCTTCCCCTGCTACAAAGATCTCAAACCAAATGCACAATGTTATTTTAGCATTATGTTGCCTTTTTAGATTTTGTAGTCTGCAATGTTTAATCTCTTACCTTTTTTGTGTTGCGGCACCCTCGGCTAACGTGTATTGATGATGATGACTCCTAAACACGAGTATAAAATGACAGCGCCGTGACAAATGCTCGATTCCCTCGTTCTGAATCTGACGACAATAGCTACGTTATTCTCGATCGCTCAAGATATTTACGGTGTTTGTATTGTCCTCAGCAAATATGCTGAAGACAATCTACTTGACTAGATACCGGTGAATAGCCACATGTTTGCGGTTCGAATTCGAATCTATTTTGAAGTTAATAAGCAGCGTCTCAAGACAAGGTGCCTTTTCATCTCCTCAGATTTTCCCCCTACTGGGTGTACTTTAGTGTGTATAAAAGACGAGTTCTGTCGACAGTTCTCATCTCTTCTTCACATGGCGAATAACGTTGACATAGTGATTGTTGCTGGTGATATGAATACCAAAGTGTTTCTACTTTCAAACTATGAATAACACCTGGGAGGCGGCTTCGGAGTCGATACACGCCGAATAGGCAATGTTGATCGGATGCTGCGCCATAACCTTTATTAAGCAGCACTGTTTTCCAGCACAAACCTTTACACCGCGTCACCTGGCGCCCGCCGAGTTCCTCCATGACCTGGACCCAAATTGACCATATTGCTATCGGTTACGGATGACGCACATCAGTTCAAGTCTGTCGGTCAATTTAGAGGTGTCTGGATTCCGACCATGCTCTAGTGCGCGCACACTTGGCGCTTGTTCTTCCCGCTTCAAAAAGGCACCCATCTCCTAACATTGCCTGTAACGTGTTCTGTTTCCACTGACTACTGACAACCGATGCAGCCACTCTGGTCACGATACAGTAACTCTCCAAAACAGAAGACAAAGGCTTCTGGCGGAACTTGAATGGAGTACTCGGAAGACAGAATGTACAGCCAGAATATTAGGTCGAAATAAATAGTTTATGAGAGAAAAGACCTGATTGAAAGTTCCCGATTATAGCAACTGCTAGATGCGCAAAAACTCGCTTTTTTGCTGAGCAAGTAGGGTGCTTTCTGGAGGGCTTCAAGGTAGATCATTCTGATTGGCCCACCTCTAGGTAAAACAATGTTATTGGCTTATTCCCAGTCGGCTACGAGCGGCATACAACCAATCTTCTCCGGGTTGCTTCAGACAAAGAGAGAGAGCTAGCTTCGATGACTGCTATGGACGGGCTTCGGTAACAACTTGAACTCGCAATCTGCAGTTCAACAATATCAGGACGAACTGGCCCACCAATTGTCAGCGATGAATGAGGTTGGTGAACCGAACACTGACTGAGGTCGTCTCGAATGTGTAGTGAAGGATTCCTTTGATACATACTCTACACCCATTTCGAGGCGTCGTCACTATGAATGGATATCTGAAGCATCGATCAGATTGATCGAAACACAGAAACGTGCTCCGATAGGCACTGAGTTTTCGCGTTTCCCTAACTCCCAGAAACGACGCACCGCAAGGAGTCTTCGACTCGACCGGGAATGTTGTCGGATGGCAAGGGCCCGTGAGATAGAAAAGAAGTGCTATTGAGCAGCCCAGTGCTATTCCAGCTCATCGGAACCCGGATCCGAAAAAGCGATCAGTTAATCGGACAATCGAAAAGGCATCAGCCATACGGCGGTACGCAGTACCGACGCTTTGCTGCCGCACAGCCACGATCGGTCGCACATGGGTTAAGGTTACTGCGAGGGTCACCCGGTCCCTTAGAAGGCTCGAACTCGCGCCCTCAGATTACAAGGCGGACTTGCGATCCTTTTGGTTACTTACTGGCAATAGCTGAGAAAGATGGTCTGTTGATCTGTACACAGCATCGACTAGCCCGCTGTGCAGATCCTTTTGAAGAGCATTTAAGCAGACCTGCTGCGACACTGCCTCTTGCGTAATCGCCTAAACCGACGTAGGAACTAGATGTCACGCTTCCCGTTTTGTAAGAGATTCGACATGAGCTTTTCTTATTGAAACGAAACCAGGCTCATGGACCTGACAGCCTTCGTCCATCTTTGTTGAAAGATAGTGTTGATTCTTTGTTGACTTGAATCACCTTCGTTTTACACGATTTGGAACACTAAAGAGGTGCCTTCATACTGGCGACTGTCAACTGGCTTGCTCATCTTCAAGAAGGGTCAACGTATTTTGTACGAAAATCATCGTGGCATTAGCCTCATTTCCTTTGCATCCAAATTTCTCATGGGTATCATTCTCCGACGACTTACTGATCCCCGTGAGGACGGATTCACTGAAAGCCAGGCTGGCTTCCGCTCTGGACGTGGTTGTTTTGACCACATATTTACTCTTCACCAAGTGTTAGAGCAGAGACGCACGTACAGGCAATCGACAATTGTCGTTTTATATTACTCGTGGGGTGGGCGTCCTCGCGGTGTACTCAGCCCGCGTGCGACTGGTGGTGGTCGCGCGGCAGCGAAGTGCCGTTACGGCGTACAGCTGACACATTATTATTATTATTATTATTATTACTCGTGTTACTTAAATTGAAAGCCGCCTTCGACTCTGTCGATCACACGAGCTTGCGGCACTGTGTCCATGAAGGGCGTGTCCTCTGAATTCATTGCCATTATGCGTACTATGCGGTCACTCCCGAGGCCGCGTAACGGTCTACGGGCAACTCACTTAGTTCCCCATGACAAGTGGGGTATGCCAAGGTTATCCTATATCTCCTTTCCTTTTCAACCTTGTCATCGAAATGATCATGAGTGACTCCGTTGTTTCAGACTCTACCGGAATGAAAAAAACTACCAGGTGACCGACTGACAAACCTAGAGTATGTGGACGATATAGCTCTTTTTGAGTTTGATGCAGCGGCTATGCGAACACCGCTGGATAGACTGAAGCGCAACGCCGCACGCTTCAGCATATGCTTTACACCTTCAGAATACAGCGTACTGCTGCAGGACTGAACCAACACACTTCCGCCTCTAGCTATCACCGAACAACCACTGGAAGTGGTGGTTCGGTTCAATTATCTTGTAGTCACATCATTGAGAAAGTTACTTCACGAAGTTACTTTCCAGTGACCCGACCATTTATGGAGACGGCAGAATATCAGTCTTTCAGCGAAATGTAGAGTTATAACGCCGCGAGAATGCTGGTCTTACTGTATGGACCATAGACCTGGCAAGTTCGTAATGAAGACATTAAACCCTTGCCCGTGTTTGACCACCGGTGTTTGCGGACTACTGCCTACGTCTGGTGAACACATAGGTGATCAGTGCTGAGCTCCGTCGGTTGGTTTTTGGCAAGAGGCTTCCTGATTTTTCACTGGAGTGTTTGCTGAATCTTAATCACCTACGTTTATTTGGACATGTCCTTTGTATGCTCGATGCCCGGTTTCCTCAGAGGTCATCATACGCTGTGGCTGGACCAAGTCGAGTGAAACCGCGAGGTGGCGTGTTCATGACGTGGCATAAAGGCGTGGAGAAAGTGATTGAAAGACTTGGTCAGTTTGGTGCATACCGTCTTCGTGGATGTGGTCCCAGGATGGTTTACACACGGTGCAGTCACGCACTCAGTGGCGTTCTTGCATTCTTTTTCTTACCTCTGGTTGTTTGGCTGGATACACTTGTTGATATGGCTAGGAGCCGACCTCAGTGGCGTTCGTGCTGTGAGTTTCTTTGTCCCACCCCATCTCTCTTAGCCTCCCCCTCCAACCACCATCTCACTATTTAGCTTCATATAATTTTCATGGTAATTCTTTTGATGCACAGTAGCCGGCTGGTAGCTTATCGGAACGATGCCCATTCGTTACCGGTAGCTCAGCTGGCTTGCAGCAGTCGCATTTTTTCTCCTACGTATTGCGGCACAGTAGCTGAGGTGTTTCCCACCTCTAGCTAACGTGTATAATGATGATGATGACATCTGGTTGCTAATTTTCGTTCCATTCCATCTTTCTTCCTGCTCCCATTGTCTTTACATTCTGTTTGCCTTTAACCCTACTATCGTCGTTATTTATTGTTATTCTTGCGTTGTGAATCGTCGCAACTTGGTCTGCCGCGCTTCGGTGCTCGATTCAGTTGTTCAACCGAACTGTATTGAACCAGTATGTTTGAAGGTAGCATTCATTTATCTGCTTGTAGATCGAAATCCGGCCCATAGTTACCGTGGTGCCATTTACCTTTTATCCCTCTATCAAATGCCAACGATAATCGTCTTATTTCCAACTGGACACAGGGCCAGCATCGAAGTTGAACCTAACAAGCCACTCAGGAAGGTAAGTGTCCGATACTTATTGTAATCATATCCTCTTTATAGGCCCTAGAATCTGCTTGCAGTAGACGATGTCTGGACCCTACTAAGTACATTTTTATGTAAGTTTTTTAATATTGGCTGCACCGCCAGGAAACTATCATTCACGTCTATCCCAAATTGTCTATCATTTTATTATCTACATAAATTCCATCTATATCCTACCATAAGCTCTCGGTTTTGCAAGTCTACTGAGGTCCTAGTTGTGCTGGGATTTCATTCGATGGACCTAAGGATATCTAGCTTCGATGGATGCATATTTCTGTCACGGAATCGTCTGCTTGCGGCATTACCAATCATATTCCTATCTGCAAGAAAAATCATTGCTCGCACTAAGCGCTATGTGACCGAAGCTTTGAAAGTGTCTTCGAGCTGGTAAACAAAGATATAGCGGAATGCCGGAAGTAGCAGTGGCTGATCTGTACCACTTTGTTTATGGATTCATGTCCCCATAAGGCAGATATGCGTAGCACCGACGGTTCGGATAACAATAAGTAACAGCATTTGACTTACTTGGTGCAGCTTTTTCGGGAGCACTTCATCAGCGCACGAACTTTAAATCGCCTCGTTTTCAGATGCTGAAAACCTCTCGTTGACCGGTTATTTTAAAGGCTCCAAGGTTAAGATGTAAAACTTGATCACTGCACCCGATTGTTTTCGCGGATTCGTCCGCAAGAGAATCTGCGTTTTTCTCGCTTTCACCATTTAGTGATGGTCTTGAGTTTCCCCGCAGAGGTCTGCTTCATCTCTTCGAATGGTTACAGAAGAGTGACGCATTCTCAAACAACTTGGGTAAATCGGCCATAATAGTAACTTTTATGAAGTGCAGTTGCATTGTCCGGGCTAACGACCGTGGTAGCAACCCTAGACCATTTATGACAATTACTGTCACTTTCTTCTTTGGTCTTGCTGCGGTGAAATAACCCATAATGTGGGAAGAGCTGGTAGGTTCCTCCTGAGTTGAGCCTTATTAACCATTTTTTCACTGCGCGATGGGACTGAGACTGTATTTGAAAGCAACTATAAAGCTTTCTGTGCAACTATCGTCAGCGGTAGTGTTTGGTCAGTTAATCCTTTATCCTTGTTCGGTTAGGAATTCGTATTGGTGTCATTATTTCCATTTGTAGGATGTATTTTTTACACTGTATGTGCACCGTTTCACAAAAGCTCAGGTTTCCGAAATAATCGTCGGTACGTGTTCTAAAACACTTCACAGAGCCGGCCTCTATTAATCCTCATAGTAGTGTATTCCATAACTGCGATTTTTCGTTCTGTACAAAGCTGATGTGATACCTTGTTCACTTAGGGGACTCTGATTTTCTAACGGTGTCCTCGGGTGTATCAGTATCCCCGCAGTATGGGGAAGTGATTCAAGTGTAGTACTTGACTGGTCATAATAAGGTCAATTCTTACGCGGTGGTAGGATGGTGTGTAGAATCCGAGCCTTTCACGTTTTTCATACGGAAGTTTTCGTAGACTATCATTCTAGTTCATCACTACACGTTAGCTGGAGGTGGAAAACACCTCAGCTATTGTGCCGCAATACAAGAGAAAAGAAAAGGAAAACAGTGGCACGCCTGCTGAGTCCCCAGTAACGGATGGACATCGTTCCGGAGAGCTAACAGCTGGCTGCCGTAAAAGAGAATCGTATTATGCCTAACAGGTGAGATCGTGATTGGAGGGGGATACTAAACAGGAGGGGGATGGACAAAGAAAATCACAACACAAACGCCATTGGTGCCGGCTCCTAGCCATATCAGCAAGTGTGTCCAACCAAACGTGTTCACCGTCCTTAGGACCCCAGCCTGGCAGTGGGGATGCACCAACCGACGCCAACTTCGAAGTGAGGGTTTTCATTTCTCTCGACCAAGTCATCACTTGGCCTCCCCTCCTCCTCTTCCAACCGCACACACAACGCGCAAACAATGCACGTCGTGGGAGTCGGTGTGCTGGCATGCGCAACACATGGCCCAGCCATCGGAGCCTGGTGCGTGATATAATGGTGCTGAGCGGTTCACTCGCTCTTCCTGCACCAAATACGCGACGTCGAACACGCTCATTGCTCACGTGGTGTTCCCACCAGATGTGAGCTAAGCTGCGAAGGCAGCGATGATCGAATGTGACGAGCCTCTTCATGTCAATCGACCTGATGGGCCAGGTTTCACAGCCATATAGGAGAGTTGAACAGACGGCTGCGTTGTAAACTCTGCCCTTCAGGGCGAGAGTAATGTCGCGTCTGCGCCACAGGTGGCGGAGATTGGCAAAAGCACCTCGAGCTTTTGCTATGCGGTTCGTAACCTCATCTTCAATCCCACGGGTGTTAATATAGCTGCCCATCATTCTAGTTACGATATGCTGTATTTTCTCCAGCTTTTTTATTTCCCACTGGTTTATCGTATGGTAAACTGGGGCACTGTATTCAAGGATTGGTCTAATGTGCGAGGTGAATAGACGAGGGACGGTTTCTTCGGACCATGTGGAGAAACTGTGTCTTAATGTCCAGAGCATACGAAGTCTCGCACGGTACACACGCTCGGGTGAGCTCCGTTCTCGGGAAGCTGACGCAGCAGCATTGACCCATCCAGGCTTCTAGAGGGATTCGAATAATCCAGGAAGAGAAGCCATGCGGATTTACACCTTTGATTTAGTGCATACGCTACACAGAATGAGTAAAATATGCCACTGCATCCACTGTAGAGCGCGGAGGTCTGTATGCAAACTGGTAGATATCGTCAAACGGAGAGCCGTGAACATACGCGGAATTAGCAGCTTTTCGAAAACTTTCATTATGTACACGCAATCGGTGATACTTATGGGATCCAATTTTGGGTATCGGGCTTATTCTAGTCGACCTTCAAATGTTTGAGATCACACCCATAGTGAGACATTTGAAGAGATCTGTTACAGTTAGTTTAAAAAATCTGCCTATTCTTTCAGAGCTCTTGGTGGTAGAGCATCCGGACCACTAGCTTTGTTCGACTTAATCCTTTGCGTTTTTTATGAACACCACCTTGATCAAAAACGCTGTTGGACTTAAACTGATGAAGGAAAGCAAAGGTACTGGGTGAGGCTAACTAAACTCGGCTTTTAATTTGTCCCCATCCACTTCACTACTTTGTCTGCGGGCGCCCTTATCACTGAGTTACCTCAAAAGCTTCTATAGATCACGACAGTTATGGTTGCTTAGAACCGCTTCGATACATGGGTTGTTTGGCCTCCTTAACTAAGATTTGATTGCCGAAATTGGGCTCTTGACACGAGTAGACTTCTTCCATGTATGAGCTCGTTCTTACATCCTTTGATATAGTCTTTAAGATGCTCACATTGAATCGACATTGAATCGCTATTGAAGACTGAAAAATCAGTTAAGGGAGTGGTCGACTGGAGCAATTTCACTGTTCAATAATCTTGAAAGAATGTCTAGTCAGCGTGACGAAATTAGCTCCACTGTATATGATTGGACACAATTTTAGAACACAGTGATCTAAGCTGCTCAATGCAGACCGTTTTTGTATGGAAGGCAACTGCATTTTGTTTGTGTAAACAGCGTCCAACTGAGTATCTTGTCTGATAGAAAGGATCACTAGATCTACCAAGCCAAGTTTCTCCAGGAATGTTGTATTCCTTTTATCAAAGTCGCTGGCAACAACGCAGATAGAACAATATAGTTTCGACAGTAGCATTAAAGAAATGGAGTCCTCAAAAAGTTACAGCTCTGACACATGTGTCAGAGCAGTGTAGACGTCTCTAGAGATGACCGATTGAAATCCACCACCACCACCACCACCACCACCACCACCACCACCACCACCACCACCACCACCACCACCACCACCACCACCACCACCACCACCACCACCACCACCACCACCACCACCATCCTTGTCGAACCCCACTGATAACAACGAAGAAAGGCGAAAGCTGGCCATAAGCCCTAACTCTACCCGAGGTCAGACTATACAGAGCACGTAGTACGGAAACGAACTTCTCGGGAATGCCATTCCTTAACAGACAATGCCACAATGCAGTTCTGTCGACGGAATCAAAGATAGTACGAATATCCAGGAACACAACAATCTTTGGCTTTTAGTACACATGGCGGAGCTCGAGAATCTGACGGAGTGTGAAACCCTGATCGGTGCGGCCGCAACCATGTCGAAACCCTGCCTGGTCTTCTCTCTGCAGTGATTCACGCGTTAGGGATAGCCTGAGAAGACTAACGGACGCCACAATCTTGCAAACGACGGGAAGCAAATTTATGCACCTGTAATTAAAGCAAATTTTGCGCAGCCCCTTTTTGAGGATGGGGACGACTATGGATTCACTCTAGGACGATGGAATCTCTCCTGCCCAGACTTCTGAGAACAAAGCGGTGAGTTCTCACAGCAGCAAATAACCCCCATTTTTAACTAGAGCAGGAGGTAGACCATCAGGGCCGGTTGTCTAATAACGCAGTACAATGAATCACTCTGCAAACAAATTTCTGATGCTCTGGCCACCGCAGAGGATAATCAACGGTGCATATCTGCTGCATCGAGCAGAGTGGATAGGGGTTTGGATGCCACTGCTCAAGCCTTCCCATCTTCTTATTCCCTCTCTTGCACTTTTTCACTCTTATCGTCCCGTTCCAGCTTCACTTTTATCCCCTCTGTTTTCAACCCCCCAATTCTCGGCCCTCCCCCACCTTGCTTCAATAGTCGCTTGTCTTTTAGTTTTAACTCACATGTGAACGCGGAGCGTCATTCCTGCTCTGTCAACAGGCCCATGTCCAAGCAAACTGTGGAGCCCAGTTCATCGGCTTCCATTTGGAGCCCTCGATCCTCCTTCAGATTGGCATGCCTCAATGTTCGCACATTGCTTCAGATCGGTCAACAGGCAGCACTTGCCCGAACATTAGAGACCCTCTCGGTCAATATCTGCTGCTTATCGGAGACCCGCCAGCAAGACTCGAGCTCTGTACTCACTCTGCGATCCCCTTCAGGTGACACTAGCAGCACTTCCTTGTTTCACCTATCCGGTGACGATGCAGCTCCGAGCACCGGCCAAGCCGGTGTTGGTATTGCCCTGAGTCCTCGGGCTGAAGCTACTCTGGTTGATTGGATTCCAATCAGTAGCCGGATGTGTGCGGTCCGATTGGCTGACTCGTTCAAAGCTTCTAATTCACGTGGGACTAACAGGTGTCTATTCGTTATCACTGCCTATGCACCGACAAACCGTAGCGATGACTCGGTAAAAGACGACTTCTATCGTCAACTGAACGAGCTCCTTAGCCACAGAAGAAGCCCGAACACTGTAATGCTGGCTGGGGATCTGAACGCTCAAGTTGGAAAATTATCCACAGATGAGCTGCATCTGGGCGACCAACATGGTGTAGGCTCCCGTAATGATAACGGTGAACGGTCACTTCATTTGTGTGAGGATGCTCGCTTATTTCTTGCGAGCACTAATTTCCGACACAGCACCCGCCAGAGGGTGACTTGGCGCCCACCATCCTTGGACACAAATCGATCACATTGCAATGTTACCGCTGGAAAGGCTGCATCCAGAACTGTCGCTCGATTTGGAGCATAGGTGTGGACACCGACCATGCACTTGTATGTGCTGACCTGCGGATGCGCTTTGGCGGACGCCCACGACGACGTTGTGAGCGCCTCGACACCAGCCAACGGGCGAAACCAGCTGTTCTGAATGCCTATCAAAGTACGCTGTCATGCGAGTAGGATAAACGCTCATTGCATGCAATTGAAGGTCACTGGTCTCATATACACCAGACCTTAGTAGCAGAAGGAAAATCCTCATGTGGTATGTCTAATCACCAACATGGACATTGGTTCTCTTCACAGTCGCTGGAACTTATAGACGCTCGCCGGCATATTCCGGCTGGAAGCGAACACAAGGAAACTCGCAAAGAGCTCTGGGCAAAACTCCGCGCTAGCCTGAAGAGAGACCGCGAATCCTGGTGGTCTCATCGTGCATCAGAGATGGAAATGGCCGCTGCCCTTGGTAACCATCGTAAGTTATTCCGTCTGATACGGGAAACGGGAAGCAGGAGACCTGGTGTTAGTGAAACAATTTGTGACGAGAGTGGACAGCCTATCCACAACTTATCAAAACGCTCGGAGCTTTGGGCTGACCACTTTGAAAGGCAATTTAATCGGCCGGAATTGTTAGATTTCCCGTCGGCTAATAATCTCCCCGCTCCGTGGGCTGTCAATTTGGACCCACCCACTCGCTCAGAAGTCGAACGTGAGATCGCACTGTTGAAGTTAAATAAAGCCGCGGGACCTGATGATCTTCCTCTAGCCCTCTTCAAATTCGGAGGCTCTGCTCTTGTGGATGATTTACACGAGTTACTAGTCAACCTGTGAGAGCAGGAAACTGTCCCAACCGATTGGAGCCACTCCGTCATAGTCCCAATTTTCAAGGGAGGCTCACGATCGGAATGCCGCAGCCATGGAGGAATCAGTCTGATCTCCATCGCCTCCAAATTGCTTGCCTCTGTCATCCTTCACAGACTGACTGGCACTCGTGAAAGCCAGATTCGTGAAGAGCAAGCTGGATTTCGTCGAGGTCGTGGCTGCATTTCTTCACCTTGCGTCAGTTGTTGGAGCACCGTCACATATATTGGCGGCCCACCGTTGTCGTGTTCCTCGATATCAAAAGTGCATTCGATTCGGTGGATAGACATGCACTTTGGGACTGTCTACTCAGGAAAGGTGTGCCCGAGAAATATGTGAATATTATCTGGGCATTAGATGCGCGTAGCTTGGGCAGAGTGAGGCCTTACGGCAAGTTGTCTTCGTCTTTTAATATCTCCAACGGCGTGAGACAAGGATGCCTGCTGTCACCTTTGCTCTTCAACTTCGCTATTGAGGAAGTCAAGGAAATCGCGTCTACAGGACACGACTTAGAAGGTGTGGAGCTACTCCCAGGAGAACGACTTCTTGACTTAGAGTATACTGATGATATTGCCCTCATCTGTGACAGCTCCCAGACGTGTCAAGCTGACGGCCAGGAAAATTGCGATCGAAAATGTCCAACCCATCGCTGCAATCGTCGTTGAAGAGTAATGATTAGAGAGCCATCCTCTTCGCAGTTTCTTTCGCTTAGTCTGTTGACTCGGATGAGATGGAACAGTTTTCTGGTATTACCAAAGAGATTAGCAAGTTTATGCTCTCTAGCATGTCACACTACCAGGTCTCTCGGTCCTTCTGTGAGCTTCTACGCAACACTCGATCCAGGGATCGTCGTTCCTCACTACAGCTGGTGTCGGCGGTGATCAAGCGGTGTCTGTCCATCAGCGACAAGGAAGAAGTGGTGATCCAGCATTTTGGTAGGTGGCAAGCAAATCCACAACTGACAGTACTGGCAGAAATTACAGCGTCTTTGATGTGCATCCATTGGGAATTGAGACCATCGTCAGAGTATGAAGCAAGTAATGTTGACAAAGAAGCCTGGTATTTGGCTAACGTCGCAGAATTTTGCAGCTTTTCGACGTTCGGACGGTAGTGCGTACATCTGGTTGATCCTCCGAAACGCAAGCAGATCTTGGCGCGAACTAGTGCGTGATCGGAGTCCAGACAGGTTGAACAGTACATTTCCGCGCCATCTGTAGCTTATCGCTATATGCTCAAGCTGGGATCACTGTTGTGTTTGTGAAGGCGGACGCCATGTGGCAGTCTGTCTTTTCGAATGCCGAAATTTTAATAGTCTGACTGAGAAGGACATGATTGGCCTTGATCCCAGTTCAAGAAAACAAAATACAACCTAGATCATCAGTCGGCAGAACAAGAGTATTCCAACAAGAACAGTAACGATCTGATTTGAAGGTCCCACCTTCTGCATGGTCATATCTTTGATTTCTGCGGGATTCGCTGGAAATGTGCGCTGTCAAAAATCCCAACGGAGAACAATGGCCTTCCAGCGTCTTTTTATATACGTGATAGCTATGTAACCGAGCCTAGCTGTGACAGTGTACAATATCCATTAAATCTATATCCGTTTTAAAGGTAGGCGTGACACATCTCACATAGAGCACATGGCTACGTATTCCTGTACAAACGTTCCCGTCAACTTACCTGAAGTTGACTAGCCTCTATTCGGAGGAACGTTTGACCTATGAATACCCGCATCGCGGTTCGCTATTGTCCAGACTCAACTCCGTACGCAGCCTAATGTGAGACACCAGCAGCGAGCTGTTGGTTTTATATTTACATACTTTATTTGCGCTGTGTCATCGCATTTTAAGTACGATGAGAGTCTTCCCGAAAGTTAGTTAGTTTTCGGTTGCCAATCATTTTAGCCCAGTTTGTAGTTAGTTCAGGTGAAGCACAGAACAGGTAACTCTTCTTTGTAGAGTAAACTCTACTCCTCTACATATTCTTTGCTTTCTCGACTGCCCACTTTGCTTGCACCATCTCCGTACATCATTCACTTAAGTTGGCTTTCTACTTTCTCCCCTTACCAGTTGGTCCCTTCATCTTTTGCAGACACAATCGCCGACCAGTTGACCTTTCTACCAGTTTTCGATTTTCCGGCCTGGTTAACAACGCCTCACTGGAGCTGGTAGCCAATGATGCTCCTGATTCGAACCTTGACGGGTCAACTGAAGTCCGTATATGTTTCAGATTGGATAACGGACATCGTGCTGTGTGGTCCGGAAGCCCGCATTGTTCTTTATGGAATATTTTGGATCAGTTAGCTGCTAGTACACCCGAGTGAGTCTTCCATTTCGAATGCGTGTTTTTCACAAAGGTGTACAAACAATCTATCTTCTTGATTTGGTTCAGACTCCCCTGCTACTCGCCACTGGTCTTGATCTGAGCAACAGATTTTTGGTGAAATTAGAAACCGATTGGATGAAGTAATTGGTCTGTTTCTAAGACATTGTCATTGTCCGCCATGCATCTGATGCGTCAAAAGGAATCAACGTGACAACCACACTCTTTACTATCACAGCTGTCGATGTTACCGCCGACCTGGGTTTTCCGAGGTGGCCATTTGCGTCACAAATGCTTCACTGTTACCGCAAAAAATATTGGCTTTAGTTGCTACTGTCAGGTTGTTGCTGCCTCTGTGTTGCGCAGCTTTTGTAGTCTTTGACAGTTGTCCGTTTGCCGTTCAGCTTGGCGGCAGATTATTTGTAGGTTGCTGAAAGCATGCAGTCTATCTAGCTAGCTTTGTCTGAGTAGACCCTCAGGTCACCGCAGCCCCAAAGATGGTGCTCACACATAACCGGGATTTATTGGTACATGACAATTATGCATAGTGCTTTCTCCCTCCATTACCCTCATTCTAGCATGCTCATTTGTTTTCTCAGAGTAATAAACAATCATTTTCCTGACTATTGTATATCAAAACAAGTGGCTGGCACACTTTATCTTCGTAACCTGATAATGAATGCGTTTGGTGAAATTATGTGGAATTTAGGTAGCTCCAGTAGCGAACGAAGGGCGTCGTTCAATCGTTTTAGTGTAAACTTCCCATTTCCTAAAGTCTGCCCAGTCTTTGCCTGAAGTGTTCGTTATTTAGATTAGGTACTCGACGCAGTTTGATCGATCTGCGTTGCTACGGTGAAAGACCTCTTCTTTTAAATTCGAGGTTGAATAGGTGGGTGTTCAAAAATAGACTCTTCCTTCGATGATCGATGATTGGCAGCGGTCTTGTCATCTCCATTGACAGAGTCCGATGTGATTTGCTTTTCTTCGAAGTAGTGAAAGGCTCCGTTGCTCACTTTGCGGAATTTTTTCGTGTTTCGTTTGATGTTCGAACAAAATTTCTCATACTTCAGCTATTTTGGAGCATTTGTACTAGCTATTCCCTTTTCACTAAACTCATGCGCCCCATGTGCCTAGCACCTGTGGCCTCTCTTGGGGTCCCTCATAAGTATCTCCCTATGCACATGATGTAATCCTTTTTATTTCGTGCACCCCAGGATTTCTCAACTGCTCTCGGTGTCAGGTGATTCATCTGGCAATTGTTTGGCCGTCATTTATCTTCAGGAGCAAGTAAGCCACGCTATTTGTTACGCAACCATCACTGGAATATGGTTCTCTCTTCGTGCTCTCAAACAGGGATCTATCCGGAAAATCTTCTGTGTTTAGATCGAATTGTTTGGGCGACTTTTTCTCCCGTACTACTGCATCCATCAGCAATGGATTGCTTTGATACCTCGAGCAGATTCGAATAGAGCTTTTTGTGGACCACCACACGTTTCTGGTAACTTCTCATCTGCTTCAACAGGTATGAATAGCAAGTAATCTTCGGTGCGACCCCTGCACCTTAGTAATAAGACTGTCCACTCGCGCTCATGTTACTTAAGCGCGGATTGTTCACACACAAGCACACATATATACATATAGAGTGGATTCCGGTTAATCGGACCACATCGGGACCAGACCATTTTGGTCCTATTAAGCGGCTGGTCCGATTAACCGAAGTTACCCGATGTAACAAGACGGGACGTGCTATACATAACATAGGAAACTACTATTATGACCTGTATTGGCGGCATATATTTATAGCAAAAACACAAAAAAGAACTGCTTTGATAACGAACTTTGTTCACTGAAAAAGAAATTTACAAACAAATTCTTCGTAACGACCTACAAGATATTCAGCATGCGAAGTACAGTTTTATACAAAGGGATTACCGAATTCCATTCAGCGTTTGAAGACCGTATCCAGTGTGGTTTGACGCATTCTTTTAACAGACTGCATTCGCACAAAATCACCACAAACATGTAACGCAGTAATAGGACTACCTTCATTTCCTTCCCGCATGAAATAGCGGTGCAATGTTTCAATGCATTTCCTTGCATCCTGTTTTGTGACTGGCCTCAACACGTTAGGGTTCTCTTCATCACTTCAATGGTCTTCTGTTGCTGTCGTGTGTTTCGCTGCTATTCGAGCAACAATGGCAGCATCGCATTCTTCATTTCCATCATAGAGTTGAAGTTCGTTGTCGATTGACAAAAATTCTTCGTAATTTTCAACTTGTTTCAGCTCCACATTCTCGCCGTCATTTTCATTTACAATCACCATATCCACATCCATCTCCGAGACAATATGCTTAAAGCCACAGTGAGACAAACAGTTCCGAATTGTCGCACTGCTCATTTTTCGCCAACTCTCGGCCACGAATGTAACGGCTTGCAAAATGTTGACCTTTGCGCTGATTTCTCCGGCCGTCGAGGATGAGGTCAGCAATCCTTCCTCAATTGATTCAAGGATGTAATTCACCAACCTTGAACGATAAAAGGTCTTCAAATTTTTTATGATGCCCATGTCCATTGCCTGTATCAAAGATGTGGTCTTGGGAGGCAGAAATTCCATCTGGATATTCTTCAAGAAATCCAAATTTGAATGTGCTGCACAATTGTCGAGAAGTAATAACACTTTTCTCGACTGGCGTTGTAGCTCTGTGTCCCAATCCTTCACCCATTCTTTAAAAAGTGTAGAGCTCATCCATGCATTTCTGTTCGCACGATACACAACTGGTAAACTGCCCATTCTGAGTCCCTTAAAGCAGCGAGGCTTGGCACATTTTCCTATAACCAGCAACTTCCTCTTGTCTGTTCCGGACATATTTGAGCAGCACAAGACAGTTACGCGATCCATTGCTTTTTTGCAGCCAGAGAGAGTAACATGTTCGTAACTTAAGGAGCCGTCCGGTGTAGCCCTATAGTACAACCCGGTTTCATCGGCATTATAGATGTCATCTGCTGGAAATTTTTCAAGTAGCTCTGGTAGTTTTGTTGATTTCCATTCTTCAGCTCGAGCGCTATTGGCACTTACTTTCTCACCATGTGCTTTCTTAAATTTTACATCAGGTCTAGATTTCCATCGAGACAACCAGCCGTCCGTAGCTATAAAATCTTCGTGGCTCAGCATTTTAGCGAGTTCTTCTGCTTTGTACTTTAACATTGGGCCACTTACTCGCACGGCTCGTCCAGTAACAAAGGCAAACCAATCATTAAGGGCCTCATGGACGTCTGGATCCTTGCCTTCAGGCTTCCGTTTTTGGGAAGTACCTCATCGTCCTTCACATTGTGCCCATTCTTCTCGCAGATCTTTCTCTTGTTTTATCAGGCGCGATATTGTAGATTTTGCCAAGCAGGTAATTTCCACCAATCGACGCTGACTAGTGGTTGGTCCCTGTTCCTTGATCTGATCTAGGAAACGAATCTTCTCAGCTAACGTCAAGTCCCGTCGTGGCATTTTCTTAACATGCAACAAGACACGCACAGTTCACTGAGGTGAACTCGAGTCTGTCTCCCGGGTATTTCTATGGTTGACCTAGCCACCTGCTGTCCTATGATTTGCCGGACCTGTGTCTGCGATCACTTGCCGTGCTCTAGAGTAGGCCCGCAATGCGGGCTCAGGGCATTCGGCTCAATGGACGTGCGGTACATCGATCGAGCGGTTAACGACATGTGAACAAGCATATATGTCTTCGCTCCGCCTACAAGTGTTGGAAACTACAGTCAGTTTCGGGCGGTTCTGAAGCCAATTAGATAGATGTACCTCAAGGTTGCCACAGTTCAGTTTATCCAAAGGCCAACTCGGATTACCGTAACTGAATGATACGCTTTCTTGCCCGACATATGAACTGTGGGTTTAGTCCAGACATCCAGGCACAGAACTTGATTTTAACACCTCTGTTACCTGCCACCTTATATCGTCTGGTCCGATTAAGCGGAATTCCGGTCCTAATAAGCGACTAAAATTAGGCTAGCGTAATAGGATTCGTTTCGGTTCTTCAGAATTTGGCCCGAATAAGCGGCTGGTCCTATTAATTGGAATCGACTATATATATATATATCTTTTTATATATATATATATATATATATATATATATATCAAACACGTTAGCTAGAGGTGGGGAACACCTCAGCTACTGTGCCGCAATACAGAGAGAAAAGGAGAAAAAATGCAACTGATGCAAGCCGGCTGAGCTACCGGTAATGGATGGGCATCGTTCCGGTAAGCTACCAGCCGGCTACTGTGCATCAAAAATACTATACAAAATTATATAAGGCTAAATAATGAGATCGTGGTTGGAGGGGAGGTTAAGAGGGATGGGGTGGGACAAATACACTCACAGCACGAACGCCACTGAGGTCGGCTCCTTGCCATGTCAGCAAGTGTGTCCAACCAAACGTGTTCATCGTCTTTCGGACCCCAACCAGGGAGCCGAGACGCTCCAACTGAGGCCAACTCAGAAGTGAGGGCCTTCATTCCTCTCGACCAAGTCATCGCTTGGCCACCCCTCCTCTTCTTCCATCCACACTCCCGCCGCGCAAACAACGCACGTCGGGGGAGTCGGTGGGCTGGCATGCGTAACACTTAGTCGAGCCATCGGAGCCTGGTGCGTGGAATGATGGTGCTGAGCGGTTCATTTCCTTTTCCTGTGCCGTAAACAAGGCGTCGAACACGCTCGTTTCTCACGTGGTGTTCCCACCAGATGTGAGCTAAATTACGAAGGCACCGGTGGTCAAACGTAATTAGCCTCTTCAGGTCCGCTGCTTTAAGCGGCCAGGTTTCACAACCGTACAGTAGGGTCGAACGTACCGCTGCATTGTACACTCTACCCCTCAGAGCAAGAGTGATGTCGCGCCGGCGCCATAAGTGGCGAACGTTAGCAAAAGCGCCCCGAACTTTTGCTATGCGATTAGTGATCTCATCCTCAATCCCACGGACGCAGATACAACTTCCAAGGTAGTTGAATTTTGAACGACTTCTAGCTGATCCCCACCAACGGTCAGCGAAAGATGCGGTCCAGACCAATCTTGGAGGAACGCTTTGCACTTCGAGGGTGCGATGCAAGCCCGAAATGACGGACAGCTAGTGCTAATCTGTCCAGTGCCGCTTGACACGTCTGGGAGCTGTCACAGATTGGGGTAATATCATCAGTATACTCTAAGTCAAGAAGTCGTTCTCCTGGGAGCAGATCCACACTTTCTAAGTCGTGTCCTGTAAACGCGATTTCCATGACTTTGTCAAAAGCGAAGTTGTAGAGGAAAGGTGACAGCGGGCATCCTTGTCTCACGCCGCTGGAGATATTAAAGGGCAACGACAACTTGTCGTAAGCCCTCACTCTGCCCAAGCTACGCGCATCTAATGCCCAGATAATATTCACATATTTCTCGGGCACACCTTTCCTGAGTAGACAGTCCCAAAGTGCATGTCTATCCACCGAATCGAATGCACTTTTGATATCGAGGAACACGACAACGGTGGGCCGCCAATATATGTGACGGTGCTCCAACAACTGACGCAAGGTGAAGAAATGCAGCCACGACCTCGACGAAATCCAGCTTGCTCTTCACGAATCTGGCTTTCACGAGTGCCAGTCAGTCTGTGAAGGATGACAGAGGCAAGCAATTTGGAGGCGATGGAGATCAGACTGATTCCTCCATGGCTGCGGCATTCCGATCGTGAGCCTCCCTTGAAAATTGGGACTATGACGGAGTGGCTCCAATCGGTTGGGACAGTTTCCTGCTCTCACAGGTTGACTAGTAACTCGTGTAAATCATCCACAAGAGCAGAGCCTCCGAATTTGAAGAGGGCTGGAGGAAGATCATCAGGTCCCGCGGCTTTATTTAACTTCAACAGTTCGATCTCACGTTCGACTTCTGATCGAGTGGGTGGATCGAAAGGGACAGCCAACAGAGCGGGGCGATCAGTGGCCGGCGATAAATCTAACCGTTACGACCGATTAAATTGCCTTTCAAAGTGGTCAGCCCAAAGCTCCGAGCGTTTTGATAAGTTGTGGATAGGCTGTCCACTCTCGTCACAAATTGTTTCACTAACACCAGGTCTCCTGCTTCCCGTTTCCCGTATCAGACGGAATAACTTACGATGGTTACCAAGGGCAGCGGCCATTTCCATCTCTGATGCACGATGAGACCACCAGGATTCGCGGTCTCTCTTCAGGCTAGCGCGGAGTTTTGCCCAGAGCTCTTTGCGAGTTTCCTTGTGTTCGCTTCCAGCCGGAATATGCCGG